CCATTTCCCTGTTGTCAGATTAAGGTGTGGACACTTACCTTTTGGGTTTATTTGGAGGATTAACAGTAATATAGAGGATCTGGTACGATTCCTGCCTTTGATTAGGTTTCCTTACGTGGTGGGCTGTTGCTGTATGCTCCGTGTAGCAGTGGAAAACTCTGGAAGGCAGCACCAACACCCAACCCACCCTCTGGCATAACTGCTGGGCTTCTGGAGTGGAGAGTAAATGATGAGTGCTATTTTTGTCAGAGTGCTGGAGAAAACAAAGGTGAATTTCCTGAAATGTGCAATTAGATTCTCATGAAGCAGCTCACATATGAATGAAAAATCCTTGGTTTGGGGTTCTTCATCTTTGACATAATTCATTGTTACAAAGATTTTATTTGGCTTTGACTTCGGATAATGGAAAGAAATCCTAAAAGCTCTCTTCAAGGCTAAAGATCCCTCTACAGAAAATTCTGAAATCCTTAAAATTCAAATAAACTTTCATATCTACAACAAAAAGACTAAAGCATCTTTCTGGGATTCATAGTAAAGTTGAGGGGTGTTTTTAATGTCTGTATATCTGTTGGGATTTAAGGGCATAAGAATTTTCAGATTTGCTAACTTGAAGATGCTTTACTCTGTATGCCTCTCCCTCTCTCATTGCAATTAGTACAAAAAAAGTCAAAACAAAGATGATTATCCTAAAAAAGAAGAGTGTTCATTGCAAATCATCTGACTCCACTTTTCATATGTATTGATTCTAAAAATGTTTGCACCAAAGCAAAGTTTTGTACAGAAAAAAATACCAAATTTCTATTGACTTCTAAAAAACTTTTAGCCAGATATTTATGTGGAAAAATATTTGGCCTTGAAATGAGTCACCGGTAAGAAAAGCTAATATTGTATAATTAAGTCAATAGTCGGCTTAGTTTTTTTCAGCTATGTGAGGAAAATGTAGGCAAGTGGACAATTTGCATGATAAGTTTATATGACATTAAGAACCCCTACATGTCCAAAGGGCTTCTCAGGTGGCGCGGTGGTAAAGAATCTGCTTGCCAGTGCAGAAGACATGGGTTTGATCTCTGAGTTGGGAAGATCCCCTGGAGAAGGAAATGGCAACCCCCTCCAGTATTCTTGCCTGGGAAATCCCATGGACAGAGGAGTCTGGTGAGCTAGAGTCCATGGGGTTCCAAAAGAGTTGGACATGACTTAGCAACTAAACAACAACACATTCAAATTCATGGTACAGTGATACACAGGTTCGTTTGTTCGTGGAACTTTGCGATTCTCTTTGGAACTTGGTCAGTCAGTGGAACTTGTTGGCTGGAGGATCCCCTATATCAGATCATTGCAGATCCTCTAAGTCCTGTTTACCTGCCCAGGGCCCAGGGCCGTTTGTTTCACGTCACTTGCCACCTGGTCTGTCACCCAGTCTAGATGGATTGTGCCCAGTGGTGGGAGTGGAGAGAACTTTCTCCACTTGAAAGGTTGCCTTTGCTTCTGAAGCATGAGACCCCACTAGAGCTGCTCTGGGGCCAGGCATGCACAGCCTAGCAGAGGGGAGTTCAGTGCTTTGAACAGAGAGTGGGGGATGACAGCAGGCAGTAATTAATTCCCTCAGTCCCATGTGAGCCACCCGGAGATGCAGTGGTCCGTCTGGCCCCTTGGAAGATGGTCTTGTACGATGGAGTAGTCAGTTGTACTCAGGGTGGCCAGCTCTTGTGTTTACTCTCTTTCCTTCGTTGTCTCATTTTTTTCCTTCCATTACTGTTTCCTTTGGAGCTATTATCTCTAATAAAACTGTATATATAGCATATATATAGTTAGCATATAAACTAGCTAACTAGTAGTTAGCATATAAACTCTGCCTTCTGGAACCAAGGCTAAGACAACTTTCTTCTCATTTTGATATAGCATTCAGGCAATACCATTTTACTGATAGAGACTTCATTTCTGACTTCACTTCATACTATGTAGATAGATTCTGTCTTTCAGGAGTATAATGTAAAACATTTATACTCACAGATCCTTAGATATCTGGAAAACTTTCAGTAGTTCTACTGAGTTTTGCTTCAGTTTGAGCAGCACTTAATGTGTCAGAATTTGTGTACATGAACTTAAGGACAATTCTACTTATTTACCCCACCATGCCTGAGTAGCTAAATAGGAAACCAGGATGAACTATCATCTCAAGAAGGGAAAGCAAACCAGTTTTGGTCTCTGGCTTCTCATCAATAGAACTGTGCAGGTTTGTGGCATGACAACACCTCCATTACTCAGGTCAAGCTGTTAGCTACTACATCAGTTTTGCATCAGCTTTGCCTGTGTAATGGGCTTAAGAACAGTACCTAGCTGGAATATATGTGTAAAAAACTCTCAAAAAGAGAATGAATAAGGTAATTTCTTGGGGGGAGGAAATATGTTCATTAGGGTAGAGTTGAGAAGGTATGTAATATAGAAAAGAGACAGCTATAAAATTTATACACAGTCCTTTGAACAGAGAGTGGGGAGACTCTCAAAATGGTACTCTGAACTGATCTAGTCTGGGGAAATGATAAATGCTTGCTCCATCTTGGCCTCTTTCATGAGCTAGGTAGGATATTATCAAACACTTTCTTTGGAGTGTTTATATGGCTCATGTCCTGGCTGAACGGTGTTGAGCTTCCTCTCTCTTCAGGAGACTTGTTGCTGTACCAAAAATGGATGTGCTTTCAGACTTAATGATTGGTGTGGACATTTCTTCTTTTACTTACTCACTGTTCCTCCCATTTCTTATAGTAGCAAGACAGACTTTTCTTTGGGGAACCATTCCTGACTCAACTCTCTGTCTAGTTTAGATGGGGCTGGTTGTCCTTCTTTTCCTCCCTCCAGTTCCAGGATTTCAGAGGATTCAGCTGATTAGTATACCTGTGCTCCTCAGCCACATGACTGGCTTAGAAATGGGCACCTGACTCCATTTGGACCAATGAGGAATAGGTTCAGGATTTTTACTGGAACTGTTGGGGAAAAGAAACTCTTCCCACTGGTCTGGAGCTAAAAGGCTCATCCTGGAGTTACTGGTGGCCATCATAGGACGAAAGACTATGTGAGCATGAAATCCATGTGAAGGGAATTTGTATGGACAGAAATCTGCACAGAGATGAAAAGAGGCACATCCTGAGGTACTGAGTACCCAGATCCTGCCACACCTGAAGCTATCGCACTCTTGGATTTTTCAGATATTATGGACAATAAATTCCCATTAGGCGTTTTTTTTTTTTTTTTTTTTTTTGGTCACTCATCACAGCATGAGTCCTAACGTGTGAGCCATATATTGATAGCTGGTATCAGTATAATTTCATTAATATTAATAATGTTTTTGGACATTTTGAGATAAAAAGATGAATGCAGTCTTTTAGCTGTATTTAACTTCCCTCTTCCCTCCTCACCCCATCTCTGTGGCCCCTTCCAAAGCGAGTATCTCCCTATCCCCTCATGCCTTCCTCTCAAGAAAACTTGCTTATTTTAGTAGATGTTTATGGAACAAATGTCATTACATCTCTGTTTTCCTTCTTTTGGAAGCAGCAAGATGAGACGAGCAGGTAACCCTGTGCCTATGTAGAAAATAATAATATTTAAAGAAAGAGGCAGAAAAGTATATCCGTTATAAGCTTTTCTTTTTTGTTTCTTTTTTAGAATTGTAGCTTATGAGTTTATCTATGCCTGCTATAGTTGTAATTACAATTTAATATCTGCATACAAAAGCTATGTAAAAATCCATTTTTCCCAAATATACAAATTTTCTTTTCGGATAGTTTAAAACATTTTGATCACAGATTTCAATAGAATTTTAGGCTGAAAAAAATATTACCAATCTAGCAATATCACTTAATACCATTTGCAAAACACAAATCTTCTGATGGCTGTAAATCTTTCCCTGTTCTGCTGTCTTTTTCTGATTCTCAGGGCATGAAAACATCATGGGGGAATAACGGTATTTTCTCCAAAGAAAGCCTTCATAACTAATTTGGCTCTATAATCAAATAAAAAATGCCAATTAGGAAGAACCAAAAGAGGGGAGTGGCATAATATCAGCTCCTTCATGCCCTGCTAGTGTCTGTGTCAGCAAGTTGCCTGTCATCTAAGGGTCTTCCTTTGTCGTGCATTGTGCTCCGTAACGTACTGTCTGCATCCTGAGGAGGACAGATTTATATCTGATTGTCTTGTGCATAAGGTGGGTCAGCTTTAACTGTGCAACAGAAAGCCACAAACAGCATTTTACCTGCACGATATTGCTCCTGAAGGCGGCATTAATGAATGTAGAAACACACTAGAAATGCACACGCTTTGCATTTGCAAACATTTGTACAGCACAGTAAAAATTCTGTGATAAGGCCAAACCTTTTTTCCCTAGTCTGTTTTTGTGTCTGTGTGTGTGTGTTTTTAAAGTTGTTTTTTTTTTTAAAGATTAAAGTAAAGTGTTTCAATTGTAAAAAATACACACCGGGCAAATGCTTACCTGGATAATAAATATCTACATCACAGTACAATAAAATTTCTCCTCTATAAAATTTAAATATGGATTATAGTCTATCGCTATCAAAAGAAACACTATGCTAATATTTCCTTATTATTAAAATAACAGGAAAAATGACGAGCTTATTTTGGAACCTGACGCGGTAGCCTTCGGAAAGGGCAAAGAGATTCAAATGTCTGTGAAGCACTCTCCTTCTGAAGAGGAATGGTGGCCTGGTGCTGATTCATCTCAACTCAGTTTGTGAAAAAGGTTTAGCCTTACAAATGCTGGCTACGTTTCAAAAACCATAAGACCAGTTTCAGCTTTTATGACTCATGCAGTCAAAGGTCAACATGACACGAATGGGTTAGAGTTCCATAGAATAAAAATGTATCACGGACAGTGACATGCTTCGAGGGCGTCTGCAGTTCACGGAGGCTGAGTCCGCAGCGGCCGAGCGCGGAGGCGCGGCCCGGCCTGCACGGCGGTTCACCGGCCGGCGGGGCGGGCCGCGCCGACCATGCTGCGGGCGGAAGAGGCGGCTCGCGGGCTGAGGCGGCAACACGGCGCGGGTATCCTTGAGGACCGAGGCTCACGGGACGAGGAAAGCTCGGAGGCGGCACGTGGTGTTTTGAGCAGAATCATAGAGAAGAAAAGAGCTTACTTTTTTCACTATTTCTACCAACACGGCACATCTAGTTGGAGAGTGAAGTACACTTGAGGGCCACACACACACACACACACACACACACACACAGAGGACACCACTCACCCCCCAAATTTAAGCGATTTATAAATAGATATCCCAGCTGTAAGGTGTGTTCTCTTCTGGGACGTCTCCCCACTGAGCAAGGTTTCAGTCAGTCCACATTTGATTTGAAAGTCTGGACGACGTAAGAAAAAATGTAAAAAAAAAAAAAAATCCAGAGCAAGTCCCTCCTAATCGAGTTTTATGGGATGGAGTCTTGAGATGCCGTAAGTACCTCAGTCAATTACAGAAGGAGTGAGTCACCCTGACCACCGGGGTCGTGAATCTTTCAGTCTTGACAGCCTTTCCTTCAACCGGAAGTCCTCGAGGCGTAGTCTACTCAGCAGGAAGTAGTCAGCCTTCGACAAGATTTTGAGAACAGCAGTTTGCCTGCTTAAGGCTACCATGTAAGAGGCCAAGGATCAAACACACATTTAGTCGGCTGCTGGTTGCTGTAGATCTGCTGAACCATTTGGCCAGTGGCCAATCATGTTAATCCCTAAGGCCTTCTGATGGGCCTTTATATCAGGCTCTGCACTTGCACTGAATCTGGGGATGTCTGATGCCCTGGGGAATCTCAACGCGTTGAGGAGACCTTCCTGGGGAGCCCACTGCCTGAGGAGTCTATGAGCCTCCAGGACCTGCCTGCTCGCCTTGCTCGCCTTCCCTTCCAAGGGAAAACCTGCCCCACCCGGAAAAGCTTCTCACAGTTACCCTGGAGCAGAGAAGGTGATTAAATGCTTTTTTGTTTCAAAGAGCAGTTATCCAAAGAGAGTCAACAGAGGAAGCTGAGATGGTAACAAAGTGAGGGCCAGAGGAGACTGGCTAGAGACTGCCTGGGGAAAACAAAACCACAAAACTGTCTGTAGGACAGGGAGGCCTGGCCTGCTGCAGTCCATGGGGGCCATAAAGAGTCCGACAGGACTGAGCAACTGAACTGAACTGAGGGAAGTCAAAGCAGGTAATCTGCCCATGAACTTCATGTTGATAATTTTATCCTCTTCACCTATTTCCTTTCTCTGGGTATTAAGTTCCAGTGCACCACTCTTGGTTTCTTTCCCTGGAAGCCTGTGTAATTGCTTTAGCACATCAAACACATAATTTTCCTCCCGGATTATTTCTGGTCACTCTGGGGATTTTTAATGCCACTCCTCTCCTTCTCCCAAATCTACCCTGCCTTTCTCTAAATAACTGACATGTCATATATCAGCTTCCTATTTTGAATCAACACCAAATACATTTTCCTTAGTTGTCAGGAGAGCCATCATTTCTAATAAAGTTAGAAGTTAGAATGTGAAAGAAACCATCAAAAGAACTTGATTCCCTCACCCCTTAAAATTAGTACAGTATTAAGGACAGGAAGGATTTTTTAGTTCGACTCAAGGTCACAAATCTACCATTCAACAGCACAAACTAGAACTCAGGCACCCCAACTTCTGGGCCAGTTAAAAAAGAATGAATCCACATGGTTTTTAGGCAAGTTTCACGGATATGGCTTATTTTCCCAAACACTTCCAGGATAAGGCAGTACAAGGCAGGCAGAGGAATAGTTTATGTCTACCATGACGGTGAAGAGTGAGATACATTCAGTTTCATGGGTATATTCTGTGCCCATCTTCTGACGTTGAAGCGACCAGGGGCATCATGCTTTCTGGGCACACTGTACTCCAGTGTCGGTCACTGGGGAGGTGGGTTGGGCAGGGAAAGTGAGTGAGGGTTTGTGTGCGTGGTCTGCAGCTGTTTTCTGCTGAGTATCTGTTGGGGCAATGCTATCAGAGGGACAGAGAGAGTCAGTGGCTGGAGCAGACTTTGGTGGTAGTCAAGCCTCAGAACCAGAGAGAAAAGGAGATTAGGAAACACTTGTGAGTAGAGCAAAGAGCCTGAGGATCCAAGAGCAGAAGGGAGGAACCTCAGCATCAGGATGTGAGGAGGCTCTGAGGCACTGCATTTCCTTCAACATAGAACGTGACATCACTAGTCTCTCCCCAGAGCAAGACTCAAACATTTCAGCTTGTTACCGCTCCTTGACTGGAAGGTCGATCCACAGGGAGATCTGTTGTCGGCTCGGAAGAGATGCAAACAGGTTGAATGACTTGAGGACTTTGAGAGATGAAGGGTCAGATGTCACTGAACAGTGACATCACTCTGTAAGTAGGTTTGATTTTTGTGGGAGTTTCCTCTGAGCAGTAAGAAGCCTTCTTACTATGAAGTGATACTATGGAAATTTTTGGAAACCACTGAGTCACTGATATCTGTGAAGATTTTGAATTTCTTTGGGCTCACTTAAGGAAATTGTTTTCCTTGTTGGCCTCAATCAGTCAAACACCTGCACATCATTGAGTCACACCCTTGTATAACTCAAATTAAATCACAGGATTATGAAAATTAACAGTGAAAGGACAGCTAATTTGGGGGAAACAAATATCCTTATATATTCCAGGTTAGGCTGCTAGGAGAGAACAGAGTGCTGAAAACAGCGTGTTCTTGAATAGATAGCAATTTGTTCAGAACTTTCCCTAGGAAGCTGAAAGCCACATCTCATCAGAGGCTGTCTGTGCTGTGCTAATTGGAGCCCTGCAAAAACCAGGATTGGATCAAGATGACCACATTGTCTTGGTTTTAAGTCTTCTTTAGTTTCCTGCTTCGCCATTTTGCTTGCTCAAGTTGCTGACCAGGGACAGATGGGAGCTGGTGACGGCTTGGTGCTGGTGAATTAATGATTGTCCCCACCCCACCTCCACAACTGTAAAACCTCCAAAGCATATTCACATCAAAGGACTGGAGAACAAAATGCAATAGTTAGCAAGTACCTGCATTCAAGGGGCAATTTCATCCATGTCTACGCCAAGGACTACCTCCCTTCACCCCCAAACAATCCCTCCCAACACAAAGAAATAAAGGAACAAACAAACAAGAGCTAGGCAATGGAATGAAATGACACCCAGTAGTGCTGTTGGAATTATGAGAATGAGTCAGTCGGTCTAATCCTCAAACACTTCCAAGAACAACGGGGGAAAGAGTTCCGTGGGGCATTCCACCTTCATGTGCAGGAAGCGGCTGGCATGGCAGGCTCCGATCATCCGCAGGTCTGTCACCTTCATCAGGAGTTTTGGCCAAAAGTGAGTCACGTGGTGTTTTCGGTAATTGATATAGTGTTCAAAGGCCAGCAGGAAACTATCTTGGTATTTTTCTATTCTCTCAACACAGGCAAGCCCTGGGCGATCTGAGGGAGAAGAAAGAAGGATGTTAATTTGGAGGCAGAAATGAGAAGGCTTGTCTGGTCCACTTCAAGTCCTTTAGTGTGAAGTGGGCCAATCTGGGGACTTTTGATTCTTAGGAATGGGCATGGATGCAGTATGAACTCTGGGGCATCAGGGACCAAGATCCCAGGGAGTGGAGTAACTTCCATGAAGGGCATCAAGGCTTTGTTCAGATAAATGTCTCTGGCTTACACAAATCACCTCCTTGGGTGTGAAGGGTGATGCCTCTCTCCTAGGGTACAGAAGGAGAAACCTCACCTAGAGAACTGAAATACTCTGCATAATGAGGAGGGATTCTGACAAGCATGGACTTACAGAGAAGAGAGAGATGTGAAAAAAGATTTGGAGGATATCAGGCAGCCTGGATGCAAAGGAGGAACCTCTGATGGGAAGAAACTGGTGAAGACAAAGCAGCACAATATCCAATTTTAATTGTTCACTTGTCTTCAGTGAGCCACTCCTTCCCTTCCCTTATACCTTTGATTGCTACTGTAGCAGCCCTGTGTTGGTAGTGTCTTGGGAAATTATAGTGAAAAGGGGATGTGAACAATGCTAGTATCATCCTGTGTAGAGAAGAGAAGAGTCATAGTGGGAAGATGGAACTGGGGGAGATCATGACCATGTACAGCCCAGAAAAATCTTCCCAAGTCTTGGAAAACCACTGGTCTTCCCACAATATATAGGAGAGGATTCAAGGCAGTTTCAAAAAAAATGATAAAAGGATGTCAAGAGAAGGCTGGATGGTTGGGGAGTATCTAGGCTATGAGGACTTGGGTTGCAAAAGTGGATACAGTGGGAATATATCTCAACATAATAAAAGCTATATATGACAAGTCCACAGCTAAGAGCATACTAAATAGTGAAAAGCTGAAAACTTTTCTTACGACGAGAACAAGACAAGGATGCCTACTCTTGCTGCTTGTATTTAGCATAGTCCTATGGAGTCCTATCGAGAGCAATTAGGCAAGAAAAAGAAAGAAAAGGCATCCAGGTTGGAAAGGAAAAAGTAAAACCGTCACTATTTGCTGAGAACGTTCCCAAGTGCATCAGAGAGAATCAAATACCTAGGGGCTAATTCAACTAATGACGTGAAAGACTTACACACTGAAAAATAAGACACTGATGAAGGAAGCTGAAGAAAACACAGTAAGTGGAAAGATATGCTGTGCTCATGGACTGGAAGAATTAATATTGTTATAAAGTTCATACTACTCAAAGCAATCTGTGGATTCAGTGCAATCCCTATGAAAATTTCAATGGCATTTTTCACAGAACTAGAATAAACAATGCTAAAGTTTGTATTTTCAGCCATAAAAGACCCTGAATAGCCAAAGGAATCTTGAGAAAAGAAAGTGGAGCTGGAGGCATCACATTCTCTGATTTAAAATTATATTACAAAGTTATAGCAATCAAACAGTACTGTGCTGGAATAAAACAGATACATAGATGAATGGAAATGCAAATCAAAACCACAATTAGATATCACCTCACACCTGTTAGAAAGGCTATCATCAAAAAGAAAAGAAGTAACAAGAGAACACTTGAGCACTATTTTTGGGAATGTAAGTTGGTACAGCCACTGTGGGAAACAGTACGGAGATTCCTTAAAAAATCAAAATAGAACTACCACATGACCCAACAATCCCACTTCTGGTTATTTATCTGAAGAAAACTAGACCACTACATCAAAAACATACCTTCACCCCCCCCTGTTCTTTGAAGCATTATTATAATAGTTAAGGTATGGAAACACCCTAAGTGTCCACTGATGGATGAATGGATAAAGAAGCCGTCAGCCCCTGCCACCCCACCCCCCACTTCCCGGCATACTATTTAGTTATAAAGAATGAACTCTTGCCATTTGCAACAACATGGATGGACCTTGAGGGTATTATTCTAAGTGAATAAGTCAGAGAAAGACAAATACTACATGATCTCACTTATAGGTAGAATCTCAAAAACAAAAACAAACAAAACCCCAGCAAGCTCATACGCATAGCAGATTGGTATGGAGATTGGTATGGTATCAGAGGCTGGGAGTGGGGGTGGGTGAAATGGGTGAACGGAGTCAAAGGGTACAGACTTCCAGTTATAAAACAAGTAAGTCATGCAGATGTAATGAACAGCACGTTGACTAGCTAATAATACTATATTACATATTTGAAACTTGCTAAGAGAATAAATCTTAAAAGTCCTAACAAGAAAAAAATGTGCAACTATATATGGGGAGAGATGTTGGCTATATATTGTGATGATCATTTAAAAATAATATACAGATAGCCAATCATTATGTTGTATACCTGAAACTAATGCAATGTTAAGTTGTATCTTAATAAAAAATAAAAGAAATTTGTAGACCTGAATGAATTCCTCATACAACGCTGGGGAGCCCTACCACCCCCCTTCCCAGTTCTCCTGTTTGTGGCTTTGATCAAATAAATACATTCATGCTTCAAATGTCTAGTTATTGAAATATCTGTGTCAGTAAAACTCTAGAGTTCTACTTAATTTGAAAGAAAGAATCAGGGTTAATGTCTCAGTCCACCCTTCTGACTTTAGACAAAATATCCTGGTTTTGGCATCGCCCATCCAGCTCAGATTGCAATTTGTGCATTTTAATTTTGTGATTTCCTTCATAGTTGATGTTGCTGCTCTGTGACTCTCCCCATCTTCTCTCTCTCTGAATGTGCCAGATAAATTCTCCACAGGATCATTTAACTTTTGATCCAAACAGAAAGCCAACATGATATTGCTCTGTACTTACTCAGTTTTTTTTTTTATTTTACAGGACACTGAAGGCCAAAGACACTAGAAGCTTTGCTCAGGGTCACACAGGGAGTCCTTAGGTAAGTTACATGTTTTATTTATTTTAAGGATAATAACTCTTGAAAGTCCCTTGGACCGCAAGGAGATCCAACCAGTCCATCCTAACAGAAATCAGTCTTGAATACTCATTGGAAGGACTGATGCTGAAGCTGAAGTGCCAATACTTTGGCCACCTGATGCGAAGAACTGACTCATCTGAAAAGACCCTGAAACTGGGAAAGATTGAGGGCAGGAGAAGGGGATGACAGAGGATAAGATGGTTGGATGGCTCAGTGACTCAATGGACGAGTCTGAGTAAGCTTAGGGAGTTGGTGATGGACAGGGAGGCCTTGCGTGCTGCAGTCCATGGGGTTGCAAAGAGTCAGACACGACTGAGAGACTGAACTGACAGTGAAGTCTACTGGCAGGGAGTGCCCCGGCCTTGACCTGGTTGTCTGCTGGAGGCAGCCTTGCTTCCTGCTTCCTGGAAGCGGCTTCCTGTCCTGTGAGCAAGTCGGCTCCCAAGAGGGGCTGGAGTGTCACAGAGCACAAGGCAGTCACGGGGCAAACGTGGAGCTCCCCGGATGCTACCGGGGCAGCCGTGGGCTCCCGACAGGAGGGGACTGCACGTGGCGTGGGCATCGGGAGGGCAGGACGCGGAAGGCCGCGCTAGACCGAGCCTGCCCACCGCACTGGAGGCGGGGCTGGGGGACCCCACCGCTGTGGGTGCAGTGCAGAGCACGCGGACCCAGAAGGGAGCCAACCGCCCCGAGGCAGCCAGGGGGTGTCTGTGGAGGGGAGCCGCTTCACCGAGCCTTGGCAGAGGAGCTCCGGGGGCTCCTGGCACAACAGGAGGAGCCGGCAGACGGCCCCTCTCAGCTCCCTGGCTGTCCGCAAAGCCCCGCCCGCCGCTGGGGGGCAGCGGGATGCAAACCGGAAGCTCCCCAGGTGCTCTGAACGCGCCCCACGGCTGAGCCGGACACACTCACCTGAAGACATCAGCAGGACGGCCTGAAGGAGAGCGACCTCAGTGTCGTCCAGGTTGAAAGAGGACAGCGACATCCCCAGGTCGAAGATGGCGTCGGACACCACCCCGAGGCCCCCGTTTTTCAGCTGGCCGCGCGTCACCGCCATCTCCCCGTTCAGGGTCAGAGTCTCACTCTCCGGGTCGTAGCGCACGGCTGCACGGAGGGACATGATCTCCATGCAACAGCCTTTGAGGAGGATGATCTGGTCTTCACATGGCAGCTGGAAAGAAGCAGCCCACGTCAGCAGGAGCGAGGGCACAGACGTCTGCTAGGACCCGCCAAGGGCGCCGGGAGCAGCCCCTGCCCCGCCTGCTCGGCTGCAGACTCCCACAGCCACTCCGCAGACTCCAAGCCGGGGCTTCCCAGGGGCACTCGTGGTAAAAAGTCTGCCTGCCAATGCAGGAGATATGGGTTCGACCCCTGGGTCATGAAGATCCCCCGGAGGAGGGCATGGCAACCCAGTCCAGTATTCTTGCCTGGAGAATCCCTGTGGACAGAGGAGCCCGGCGGGCTACAATCCATGGGGTCACAGAGAGTCTGTGCTGAGTCAGACACAACTGGAGCGGCTGAGCACTCACACTGTTCATAATCTTCACCAGTTTGTTTTTGGCTGCACTGCATGGCGTGTGGGATCTTAGGTCCCTGACCCGGGATTGAACCCACACCCCCTGCATTGCAAGTGCAATCACCCCAGAACCCAGGTCTCCCATGCTGCAGGCAGATGCCTTACTGTCTGAGCTGCCAGGGAAGCCCAGGAATACTGGAACAGCCAGCAACTGAGACCTCCCTAAATGTACCGCCATTTTGGTCCAGTAGCTCTAAGAGCCGAGGCCACTGTTAGCTGGCAACTGCGCTGCTCTGTTTTTTGAAGCACATTTGCTCCTTGAATCTCTTAAAAGGCAGAGGACTAGAAGGTCTCTTACAGACACATGTGACCTCTGAGGCCCGGAGATGTCATAACTTTGCTCAGAGTCAACCAGTGGAACAGAGGCAGAGGTGAGCCCAGAATCTGGACCTCCTGGCTCCTAGGGTTATTATGTTCTCAGAATCTCCAGCATCAGAATTACTGCACACACTGGATTTCTTTTCCAGTGTTGTAATCTCATTTTAAACTCATCTGGGTGTCCTGTTAGGATTTGTGATAATGTGATAAAATTATTGTCACCCTGCTTATTTAACTTATATGCAGAGTACATCATGCCAAATGCCGGGCTGGATGAAGCACAAGCTGGAATCAACATTGCCAGGAAAATATCAATAACCTCAGATACGCAGATGACACCACCCTCATGGCAGAAAGCAAAGAAGAACTAAAGAGCCTCTTGATGAAAGTGAAAGAAGAGAGTGAAAAAGTTGGCTTAAAACTCAACATTCAGAAAACTAAGATCATGGCATCTGGTCCCATCACTTCATGGCAAATAGATGGGGAAACAATGGAAACAGTGACAGACTTTATATGTTTGGGCTCCAAAATCACTGCAGATGGTGACTGCAGTCATGAAATTAAAAGATGCTTGCTCCTTGGAAGAAAAGCTATGAGCAACCTAGACATTATATTTAAAAGCAGAGACATACTTTGTTGACAAAGGTCCATATAGTCAAAGCTATGTTTTTTCCAGTAGTCATGTATGGATGTGAGAGTTGAACCATAAAGAAAGCTGAGCACCAGAGAATTGATGCTTTTGAACTGTGGTGCTGAAGGAGACTCTCAGAGTCCCTTGGGCTGCAAGGAGATCAAAACAGTCAATCTTAAAGGAAATCAGTCCTGAATATTCATTGGAAGGACTGATGCTGAAGCTGAAACTCCAATACTTTGGCCAGCTGATGTGAAGAACTGAGTCATTGTAAAAGACCCTGATGCTGGGAAAGATTGAAGGCAGGAGGAGAAAGGGATGGCAGAGGAAGACATGGTTGGATGGCATCACCAACTTGATGGACATGAGTTTGAGCAAGCTCCAGCAGTTGATGATGGACAGGGAAGCCTGGTGTATTGCAGTCCATGGGGTCACAAATAGTTGGACATGACTGAGCAACTGAACTGAACTGAACTGATAACATTAATAATAAACTTAAAAAAAATTAGAGTTTGATTTTCTGGAGGGGGAGAATGTTTAATTAAATGCCATTATCAAAGTAGTTTGAAACAGTATTAGTTAATGGGTGTTTTTGATGAATTGTGCTAAGATTGACATGCATCGCTTTAACATTTGCAACAATGCAGTGAGGTAAATATTCTAATTCCAATTTTATTGACAGGTGTGGAAATCATGACTCTGAGAGATTGAGAGACATGCTAGGGGGTCCCTGAGTGTGGGTGAGGAGAGAGTTGGAAGCCAGCTCTGTCAGAATCCAAGCTCAAGGGAAAAGGAGAGCTCACTCTCTGAAGGGATTTGGGTGTAAGTTTCTGTAAACAATGAATATGAAATGACACATAATTTCTATCTTTTCATTAAAGCAGGTTCTGATTCTTTTTTGAGAAATGATCTTGGCAACACAACTACTTCAATTCAGGGCACTATATATGACAAAGCAGTACTACGGAATTACCTTTAAAATACAGAGTATTTCATATATATATATATATATATGTATATATATATATATGTATATATATTTGTTTTTTACTAACTCAGCCTACCTGCCTTACTGTTTAATTTCAAGTTGCTCTGCTTTTTCTCTAGAGTAAAAGGCACTTTGTGTTTGGTTCTGGAATCCATTCATGTGAATTCTCCCCTCTACTCATTAAGCAAAACGACTGTGATTTGCTTTTATTTAGTTTCTGATTTGTGCTCCTCAATTACATCTTGGATTCCTGGCCTCAGGGCCTGGTAGGGAACAGGAGATGGGAACTTGGCTAGCGCCTCCACAGTCAAGCGGACAGCTGGCTGGAGTGGGCGAACGCCAGCTTCACTGCTGAGGGCAGAGGTCCTGTCTGCAGCCCCATCACCGACACCGAGGGCTTGATAAACACGCATCGCTGGCCTCGCCTCTGAGGGTCTGCATGTGCCCAAGTTCCCAGGTGATGCCCACACACCTGGTTCAGGGACCCACTCGAGAACCGCAGACACAGAGTAGCAAAGAGAAATGACTAGTCTGATAAAACCATTGATTTTAGTTGTTTTTAGCTGTCACAGAGTACATAGACTTGGGCAGGCCCCATCTTTATAGCCAAGTCTGATGGTAGATGAAGTAGAAGTTTTCTTTTGAAAACTTCCTATTGGTGAGTTCACACGTAAATAAAAGCAGAATAAAGATTTGTCAGGGATCTCCAGCGGTTTTAAAGCTAGGCCAGATGCCTGTTCTTTAAAGAGGGGTTTAGGCTGAGGTTTGTTTCCCCATGTGGGCAGACAGTCTCTAAGTCACCTAAGAGCCCTCCACTGTGGGGAGGCCCCCCCGAGGGGGGGGGCGCCCACAGACCCGCCTGCCCCCTGCGGCGCGGTGCTCCATCGGCTGGCGGGAGTGCCCGGGCCCTGCGCTCAAGAACCGGTTCTGATGCGTGCTCTTGGCAGCTCTGCCAGCAGCCATTTCAGAGCTTTCGAAGCCCTTGGTTGGTGGGCTGGCACAGGTCTCAGCAGGAAGTTACCCTGAGTGCGATTTGAACAGCAGGTGGATCAAACTGCCGCTGGCAGAAACTTCTGGTTCTGGAGACCACCTGGGATCCGGAGCCCACTCCAGAGGTAGCTCATGGCCTGTGCCGTTCACTGCTCTCTTTGGGGTTCCAAAGAGTGTCAAAAGGGACTTCGCCGGTGGCTCAGTAGTTAAGACTCTGCACTTCCAATACAGAGGGCGTGGGTTTGATCCCTGGTGGGGAACTAAGATCCCACATGCCACACGGCGCCACCAAAAGATTTTTTAAAAAAGATAGTGTCAAAGGGTAAAGGTCCCCAGGAGGCCACAAGCACCACAGCATCGCTGCTGTCAAAATAGCCTCCGCCCACTTACTTTCTATTCGGAGACTACAAAATAGCAAGGTTGAAAGAGAGATGGAATCACGACTTTGCAGCAGGCTTAGCCTCCCGAGGGACGCTTGAAGGGAGAAGCTTGCCGCACCCGGGGCTGGGAAGGCCCGGCTGGCTCTCGCCCTTGCCAAGGACACAGCGCGCGCGGTCTTTGCTGCTGGTGCTGGCAGTGGCTGCTTTTCTCTCATTCACTGCGCAGCGCTCAGTGGCCGGTGGCCTTAAGCTTCACATTTTCTAGAAAACTTTTTTGGTGGGTATTCCAAGGGGAACATAGGACTGATAGGCTAGCTCGCTTCATAGGAGTAGCCAACTCCAGTTTTTCCTCAGACACCAAGGATGGAGAAAAGAGGACACAGCCCAGAAACAGAGAACTAACAGAGGTTCGGGAAAACAGATTCAACCCAGCGCCCAAAACAAGAGCTGACACCTTGAGTGAGAGGAAATGCGTCCTTGGCACCGAGGGGACTGGAGACGCACTTTCTAGGGGGCAATTAGGCAACGCACAGAAAGTCCTCAAAGGAGCAGCCTAGGTCCTTAAATTCCACTTCTGGGATTTGCCCCAGGAAACAGGCGGTTTTGTGAACAGGGCATAGGTACCAGAATGCTCATTGCAGAATATTTATATTATTGAAAAATCAGATATGCACTAAAGATCCTGTAAAAGCAGATAACCTAAATCATGGGAGATCTGTTCTTTAGAGTGGGCCTTCCCAGGTGGCTCAGCGGTAAAGAACCCACCTGCCAATGCAGGAGACGCAAGACACGTGGGTTTAATCCCTGGGTTGGGAAGATCCCCTGGAGGAGGAAATGGCAACCCACTGCAGTGTTCTTGCTTGGAGAATCCCAGGTGGGATCTTAGTCCCTGCCCAGGGCCCAAACCTATGCCCCCTGCAGGGGACATGCCGAGTCTCACCACTGGACTGCCAGGGACGCCCACCCACCCCTGCCGACCACCATCTCACTCATTCTTGAGGATGAAGAAAATAGCACAAACCGACCTGCTGGGATACAAAGCAGAAATAATGTAGACAGAGACTCGGGGAACGGCGGCCCCATGCCAAATGGGGAGACTCCATCTCTTTGATCTTAATTTTCCCCATCTATAAAGTGGGCTTAACAAAAGCTATGCTGCCAATCTGTTAGAGGGACTGGATTTCATGAGGCAGACTTCAGCATGGCGACCAGGACATCACAATGCCGACCGAGGGGAGGTGAGACTGTCGTGTCTCCTGGGCCTGGAGGCGGGCAGTGGAGAGGCCCCTCATCAGCCTCACGTGGATAAGCTGACGGATGATGACTGACAGAGGAGGTGGGGAAACACGCGGGACAGCGCCTTGTCATTTTGTGCTGCCGTGGCTTTCATGTGACTTTTCTTAAGTCCCAACCAATTAGTATTAAATTACACGTAATACTCAGGAACTCAATGGAACTAATCATGCATACGAACAAAGAAGGAAAAGCAATCTCCTCACCTCACAAAACATAGGCAACTTTTTGGCAAAATCCACCACTCTGGTAATTGCTGGTGTGATGATTTTTGTAAAATGGCTGAAGGCTTCCAAGTCAACCTTTCCACCTTCCGGGGCGTTTACTATCGGTGCCTGTCCGATGTCTTCGGGCTGAGGAGGAGAGACAGGAGGATTTAAGTGAAGACACCGAACGGGTCGCAGATCACGGTTCTCGCATGGCAGGAAACTGCTCCTGAACTGACGTATACTGTACGATTTCCACGTCGTTCAGTGAGAGACCATACAGTTTCCAAGACCTTGAATTCTCTGAGCAAAGATACATGTTCCCGGCTATCGCTTTCAAAGGCCCCCAGTGATCACGGTCACAGGGTGGTTGCTGTGGGAAGACACAGTGAGAGAAAGAGGGAGGGAGGAGAAACAAGAATCCGGCTCTGTTTCTGAGTGCGCGAAGGGGACCTATGTCCGGGGCTTGGGTGCCCTTTTCGGAGCAGGGCACACCCTGTGGGTGTCCTCCTGTGGGTGGTGGGCACGGCCTGGGCAGGGAGGGGGAGCCCCGCACACAGGACCTGGGGATTCACTCGAGTCCCAGTCTGCCCTCCAGAGGCCAGCCGGAGGGGCCTCGGTGGGCGGGGGAAGCTGTCTGTCAGGGGTCACTCCGGGGCCTGGGCCTGGGCGCAGGGCAGGCTCGAGGGCAGAGTGCAGAATCCACTAGCAGTCTTCTCTGCGCTCGTTTGCAACCACCCATTGCCTTGCTGCTCAAAGGGGAGGGGGTGGTCAGCAGCGAGGCCGTCACCTGGGACCTGCTGGAAACGCAGACTCCCCGGCCCTCCTTGAAGCATCGGGTGAGCGGTGCCAATCCCAGGCCCGGTGCCAACGCCAGGCCCCACGTGGCCTGGGCCCTCTAGCTCCTCAGCCTGGACCGCGACAGGCTCTCCATGTATCTCCTGTGGTCACCGGTGCTCCCCGTCAGCAACAGTCCTCTGTGCTGCCCTTTCTGGTCCTTGCGATGGTAATGACCGCCTCGGGTGGTCCTCACCCGATCCCTGATGGACAGGCGAGCGAAGGAGCGCCCAGGGAGGTTAAGGACGGTCCCGAGGCCAGGACTGGGCCCTGCTCTTCCAGGAGGCTGTGCCTGGGGTCAGAGGGGCCGACACCGCCTGACGGCGGCGCCCTTAGCCCAGAGTCACAGTGGACTTGCAGGGACGAGGTGGCCTGGCTGGGAGGCGGGAAGAGGGTAGACAGGCCAGGAGGTACGGGCCAGGGGCCGGTCCAGCAAGTCGGACCGCTCACAGCAGAGCGGCTGCTGAGGGCACCGCTGGGGACGGACTGCGCCTGCCTTTGCAGGCCCCATGCTTGACTGTGCCTCCTAGTGACCCCCAGAACTGCCGACTCAGTAGGTCCCTGTTAGAGGATTTGCATTTCTACCAGCTCCTCTGGGCACCCATGCCGCCGGCCGGAGCGCGAACGCTGAGCAGCACTCGGCGAGCAGTGACCACGCCCAGCCCGGAGGGACCCACTTCCTGCTTGGCTTCCCCCACCGCCCATTACTGCTCACGCCTCTTTTTTAGCACAAAACAAGCAAGGATGGTCCTTTCACGCTACTGCCAGGGCACCAGCTCGGAGGGGTGGCCCAGGCCTCTAAAGGTGTGATTGGAGCTGTACAGACTGGGGTCGAGGGAGGGGGATTTTTAAATCTACTACATAGCAAACCATGACAGCATTAACCTTGTTTGGATTCTCCCGGAGGTTCTTCTGTTTATTCTACTTTTTGTTGTTTGTTTTGGGGACAGCAAGTAGATGGGAAAGAAATCTGGTTTCTCTCTTGTTTCCTATCAGTGACTATGTTTTGGGGCAACTGTCGTTATAGCAAGCCCGCGGAAGCTGCTGGCTGTCTGGATGCAGACAGAATTGATAGGATAATCACAGGTAAGGCTTCTCTCTCTCCCCCGTCTCTGTCTCTCTCATAGACTGAGTTAAGGGAAAAGGACTTCCTTAATGGCAGAAAGTGAAGAGGGACTAAGAGTCTTTTGATGAGGGTGAAAAAGGAGAGTGAAAAAGCTGGCTTAAAACTCAACATTCAGAAGACGAGGATCATGGCATCTGGTCTTGTCACTTTATGGCAAAGAGATGGGGAAAAAATGGAAAGAGTTACAGACTTTATTTTCTTGGGCTCCAAAATCACTGTGGATGGTGACTGCAGCCATGAAATTAAAAGATACTTGCTCCTTGGAAGAAAAGCTACAACAAAACTAGATTGTGTATTAAAAATCAGAGACATCACTTTGCTGACAGAGGTCCATATGGTCAAAGCTGTGGTGTTTCCAGTAGTCATGTATGGATGTGAAAGTTGGACCATAAAGAAGGTTGAGTGCTTTAGAATTGATGTTTTTGAATTGTGGTGCTAGAGGAGGCTCTTCAGAGTCCCCTGGATGGCAAGGAGCTCAAACCAGTCCATCCTAAAGGAAATCAGTCCTGAATACTCATTGGAAGGACTGATGCTGAAGCTGAAACTCCAATACTTTGGCCACCTGATGCGAAGAGCTGACTCACTGGAAAAGACCCTGATGCTGGGAAAGATTGAAGGCAGGAGGAGAAGGCGACGACAGAGGATGAGATGGCTGGATGGCATCACCGACTCAATGGGCATGAGTTTGAGTAAGCTCTGGGAGAGAGTGAAGGACAGGGAAGCCTGACGTGCTGCAGTCCATGGGGTTGCAAAGAGTCGGACATGACTGAGCGACTGAACAACAAGGGAAGAGGCACATCAGAAAGTCTGGGGGTAATTCTTCTAAAGCACAAGGCAGTCTGGCATCCTTCAGATCTCCTTGCTGGTCTCTCTAATCCCTGCCACTCCAAAAGGTGGCCCAGCTCACCTGCATGTCTACTTTATAACTCTCTCATGAAGATCAACTGATAAAAGGAACATGGTCACACAGTAAAAAGGTAGAGAGTTGTATATACACACAGACACACAAGGTGATCTTTTTAAGAAATAAAAGTATTATTTTAATAACATAGTTTTGGCCTGGTTGACTCCAAACATCTTCTCACTGAACATTGATAGATCTAATTTAATTGTATTGAATTGTCTTCAGTGTCTTTTGAAATGTCAGTGGCTAAATACTAATGTTAATAATTTCCATTTAATCTGTGAATCTATGGGGTATTTGAACTACCATCTGTGATACCTCTAGAGGTTTGAAAAATAGGAGGGAAATTGTATAAGGAAATATGATAATTTTAACTAAAATTAAATGCCTAAGTGTAACAACCTCATGAGCTTTTCTGTTGACAAATAGTGGAGTAGAAAAAAATTTTATCTTTAAGCTTTTGGATATTTAATGGAAAACACAATTGCTAGAAGTAATACACAAAGTAAAAGCCTTCTATTATATCATTAAACTTTATATCCAAAATAGATCTTGGATACTAGAAAAAAGAATATATGAATTGACCTGAGTTAAACCATCACATGTAAGAAATTAAAGTTGACAATGCAACCTTGTTTGTGACTTCCCTGAAGATTTTTTACCCATAAGGACAACATATTATTTGCTAAAATATTTGGAAGATGTTAAAAATAGAATACAAATAGTTGGCACACTTGAATCTACTGGGGATCTTCTTCCGGCAAGTAGCCTGTAGTCCACGCAGTGAACACATTTGCTCACATACACGTGTGTGCTTTTTCACATGAGATCAAACTCAGAGACTGAGGATAGGTCCCTGGCATGCAGACTCAGCAGTGGAGACTCGGGGAGCAGGCCTTTTGCGTCTGTGGGTCAAAGTGCCTGAGCTGTTTCACGGGGGGTGGGCAGGGGGCCCTAGCGGACCCCTGGAGCCAGCCCCATCCACCTCTTCCCAATTCTTCCCCAATTTGCCTTGTGCTTTTCCACTCCAGTATTCTTGGGCTTCCCTGGAGGCTCAGACAGTAAAGAATCCGCCTGCAATGTGGGAGACCTGGGTTTGATCCCTGGGTTGGGAAGATCCCCTGGAGAAGGGAAAGGCAACCCACTCCAATATTCTGGCCTGGAGAATTCCGTAGACTGGATAGTCCATGGGGTCGCAAAGAGTTGGACACGACTGAGCGACTTTCACTTTACTTTGCTTTTCCTTACGGGGCTGCCTCCTCACCTCCCCGAGACTTTTGCTTTTTCTTTAAAGTCTTCACTTCAGTCTCACCTCTGCCAATTCCAACTCGCACTTCTCTCTGAAGCCTTCCCAGATGGCCTTGGTGGGAGACGGTGTCCACTTCATTTGAATACACAAGGTGGCCCAGGTAAGCCCTCATCACGCACCGAGGCATGGTTACTTTCACTGTAGTAATGAGAAGTGGGGGCATCAGCCTCTCAGTCAGGTCTGACTCCGCAGCCCCACGGACTGAAGCCCGCCAGGCTCCTCGGTCCACGGAATTCCAGGCAAGAATAGTGGAGTGGGTTGCCATTCCCTTCTCCGGGGAACTGTAGTTTCACGGGTATACATCCAAGATAAGAACTTCTCAAGACGGGGGAATGTGCCTTGAGGATCTTCGTCTCCTGTGTAGAAGGCACTGGGCCAAGCGGTGAGGACTGGCAGAGGGAGTCCATGGACGGGTGTTCACACGTCCTCAGCCACTATTTATTGTGCGGCTGCTACGGGCTCAGGCTTTGTTCCACACTGAGGCTACAGAAACAGTATGTCCTCAAAGAACGTGCATATGGCGACGGGAGACGGACAGTAAGTGAAATGAATGCTCTCAAGAAAGAATGCTGATTTGTGATAAGACTGGAGGTGACCTAACAATACACGCGGCTTGGGAGGTCAGGTGACCAGCCAGGCCCCTTTGAGATGTCATGTGTGAGCTTTATCTTGAAGAACGGCAAGAAGGCAGGCTTCCACAGACGCAGAGGACACTGAAGGCGGAGGGCAAACCCACTGCACAGCCCCAAGGTCAGAGAAGAGGCCCATGCGGTAGGCCCAGACATGGCATGTGATACAGGATGGGAGGCAGGCCCTCAGAGGCCATGGAGAAGAGATGGGTGAACTTTAAACGGAATGGAGCACCACTGAAGAGATTTAAACAGGAGAGCAGCCAGGACAAGACTGACGGTTACTACACGGGGAAGGGATGCAGGAGCCAAAGGAAGAGATGGGAAAACCGCAGCGGTGGTTTGGGCAAGAGGGGAAGTGGGCTGGACCACAGGGGTGGCGGCAGAGATGGAGGCCTCTCCAGGGAGCCGAGGGCAGGGGCTCTTGGCTGAGGGACTGGAGGAGGAGAAGGCTGATGAGGAGCCCAGCAGCTCTCCTCTGGGCAGTGTTGGGGCAGGGGTGGTGCATAGAAGGAGGAATTCAGGGGTGTGTGCAGACGTGGGCTTTGACCCCAGCTCAGCACTACAGGAGGCTGGTATGACACAAACTGAGACGGACCGAGGTTTTCTGCTTTGGCATCGGAATCGTTCAAGGGAGTAGGAAATACTCTGGCTGACCTCTTTGCAAGTGGCTGTCTCGAAGCTGAGGAATTCTTGGCTTGGGTCTCTGGCACAAGTAGAGGGCATGGGCAGACGGGACCCTTCTATCCCTCTGAGTGATCACAGGGTGTCTCCCCTCACCTTTGTGGTGGGGTTGTTGTTGTTCAGTCGCTCACTCACGTCCTTTGCGACCCCATGGACTGCAGCACGCCAGGCCTCCCTGTCCATCACCAACTCCCAGAGCTTGCTCAAACTCATGTCCATTGAGTCTGTGATGCCATCCAGCCATCTCATCCTCTGCTGCCCCCTTCTCCTTTTGCCTTCAATCTTTCCCAGCATCAGGGTCTTTTGTAGTGGGGTGAAGGGAACAAATGGCGATTGAAGGTCTCTGGGCCTTGGGACATTACTACCCAACGGCTCCCTTCTCCTGGGATGAGCAGGGGACAGGACGGTGAGAGTGGTGGTGAGTGGATGATGCGCTGGGTAACCCCGTAGGGGGTTGTTAATGACATGCCAAGATCTCATGACGATTACTTTTATATCACTGATAACAGCACCAAAGCAGCCGAGCCTCAGACAGGAAGTAACTTACCCAAAGTCAGAGCAAGCAGTAAACTCGGGCTGCCCGGCTCCAGTCTCTACACACAAGCACTCGGGCAGCGCTGCCTTCTTCCGATGTAATTGTGATCATTTTGAGTGACAGCGGCCTTCCTGGCTTGCTGCATTTGTCTTGTGACCTGTCTACTCAGACCACACATGGCCAAACCACCCATCCTGCCTCATCTTTTCTGAAACGATTCCCATCGAGAATGTGACGTCAGACAGTAGCTCTGCCAGGGGAAAAGCAGGGCAGGCCTGCCCTGGTTCTGATGGTCACATTTTATACCAGGTGGAAAATCCACCCAAAGCCATACCTTCGCATGTGAACTAAGGGAGCAGAGAAACAATGAGAGAGGCTGGGGCCTGGGATGCTTGGCTGCCGTGGTTGCACCTTTTCTCCAGCAACAAAATAAAAAAGAAACCATCAGGGACTAAAACTAACTGTGTGCATGCATAGTTGGGGCAAATTCTGGACAAAAAGATACACAAAGACCAAAAAACCACTTCTGAAGAGTCAGGAGCAAAAGCAGGATACTACGCATGCCCCCTGCACTCACCACCACCAAAGGGGCGGGCAGACAACCTAAGACACCCTGCAGTCTGACCCTTGGACTCACCCCTCCTCTCACCCTGTATAAGAAACCAGCTTGCCCCACTCCCCTCGGGTAGTGAGCAAGCAGGAGAAACCATCCCACTGCAGCTGCAGGAGCCCAGATAAAGCCTCACCCGAATTGCTTGTCTGGCCCCTGATCAATTTCTATTGATTGAGGAAGACCAGAAACCCTGGTAAAAGTAACACAGTGTTCAGCAGACAGTACCGTTCCTGGCAGGGGTTTACTTTGAGCCAATGTCTCCCATGCCGGGCAGGTGCAGATGTGAGTGCCTTGGTGGAAACCTTGCTTCCCCTTGTCTGGCACAAGCTTCTTGTCCGTGTCTCAGCCCACATCTACTTGTCATCATCACTCTCATCACACAGGGACTGGCGCTTCTGTACCTCCAGAGATTTGAGGGGACTGGAGTATGACTTAAATGCTTTTGGAAATAGTTGTAAAGAGTGGTTTTTAAATCACTGAAAATCTGCAAGGCTTTTGCAAAAGTTCCTTTACTTGACAAAGACACAGACACACTGATTTGAACCCCAGGTCAAACCACCAATCTCTGTTTATGACTTGAGTCCTGGTCTTAAGGTTAAAAAATGATGAAGAAACTCCTTTCGGGCAGTAAGTTACTTACCCATTCCCGATAAATGGATACTTCTAGCTTTCATGACAACATATAATTTATAATCCCTTATGACACTGCTCCACTATTATTAACAATAACAGGCCTCCTCAAATATTTTTCCAGACAAGATGGGCCATCATCACATAAAAATAAATGAAATAATATATGTAGTGGTGTTGTACGCAAAAAAAAGTGGTATTGGCCACACAGGAGATCCAAGTCCTCACATATAGAAGCCAGTTCTGTACATAGATTCTTATGAAGCAAAGCTGTCTTTAATGAAGGATTTTTAACGACTTTGCAGGAATAATTCATGACCCCGAAGAGTCACTTTTAATCCTGAGCATACTCAGTCACAACCACCCAGCTGCAGGGAGCATGTGCAAGTGTGTCCAGTGGCTGAGACACCAGGCTTAGCTGTGCTGTCTCTGAGGGTGGATCCATGGAACTCGATGGTGCATTTCACAGATATTTATTGGGCTCAGTTCTGGTTATCTACTGCTGCATAACAGACTCTCCCCAGACTTGAAACAACACTTTCTCATTTAAAACAATACATTTTCACTGTCTCTCAGAGTTCTGGGTGGTTCTGCAGGGGTCCCTCATGAAATAGCAGCAGAGACTGGTGTCATCTGCAGGTGACTCCAGTCACACCGCTGGTGCCTGGCCGGGTTGGCAGTCTCTCCACATGGCTGCCTGGGCTTCCTCCCAGCATGGCGGCCTCAAGGTAGCGGGACTCTTACTCTTTTAGTTTGTCACGGCAGTTGGCTTCCCTCAGAGAGACCACGTGGCAATCCTCTCCAAAATAACCAACTGGAAACTGCAAGCCTTCTTACGGCCCAGCCTTAAGAGTCACTCTGCCCAAATCCATCGCTTCAAGGAATCACAGCCCAGCCCAGATTCAAGTGGAGAGAGGACTAGATTCTACCACTCCATGGTGAAGAAAGGGAGGAAAGAATTGATTGGCAGTCACCTTAGAGAGAAGCTACCATAAGCTTCAACCACACATGTGACAGATAGTGAAGGTGACAAAACTGAATGGAATTCTGTCCTTCCCCCGAGGAGATCCGGGGCGGCCAGGGGGCAGAAGGGAACTGGCTGACAGAAACAACGATCACTGTCGAGACAGACGTGATGACGGAGGCGTTCTGTCTCCCCCGGCACCCCTCTAGGAAAAAACATCCTGGAGAAAGAGTTCTTTGCTTTTGGACCAACAGGGACAGTTCCTTGAATGTATCAAGGATCTAAAAAATATACATTTCATGTCAGCTCCATGACAGGTGGGGAGACAGGTGGGTAAAGCAGTGGCTCTGTAAACATCAACTTCCTGAACAAAACCTTGTGCCTGGGTAACCTTACAGCCCTGAAGAAATTCTACTGGCAGATCATCCTGTGCAATGCCTTCCCCAGTTCTTTCTCTAGAGGATCAAGAGAAGCATTAGGAGGCTTTGAGTTAAAGGTACAGACATGGCTGTTTTAATAACTAAAAATCATGCTATCTTGGCTGAAGACTTGGGCCAAAAGACCCAAGTTGGCTGTTTGGCCACTTTATGCTAGTGTGATCCTCAGGTGGGACACTGGAAAGGCCTGGGGCTTGGTTTGCATACCTGTAAAACAAGGATGGTGATTCCAGCCAACCTAACCCAAAGTGTTATGAACAACAAGGAAGTAATGGATAGGAAGGACTTTCACAATGGCTAGTTTTCGTTCGTTTGTTTTTTGACATGGACCATTTTTAAAGCCTTTATTGAATTTGTTACAATTTTCCTTCCATTTTATGTTTCGATGTTCTGGCCACAAGGCATGTGGGATCCCAGCTCCCTGACCAGGGACTGAACTGCACCCCCTGCATTGAAAGCCCAAGTGCTAACCCCTGGACCACCATAAAACGGTTAGTTTTATAAAAATGTCAAACATGGATATTCCAAGGGTCTGGCAAGGCCTGGTTTCTTTACACTCCCCTCCCCCATCCCGACTCCATTTCCCATCGTCCCCCTGGACCTGACAGCATTTATTTTAAACTCAACATTTTGACTTCCATTGATGTAAAAATACATTCGATATATGGGTCACATCTTTCTAGCGGTGTTCTAAACGGGATTTTGGAGTGAGTTTAGGGGATGAAGTATGCATACAAATGGGCATCTGAGGGAAGACCTGAGTAAAAAAAGGGAGAGCTGGCAGGTAAAGAATTTTGCTAATCTGCTGACCCAGGGCTGGCGTACCTCACAGGAGAAGCAAAGAGCTAACTGCGTTAGAACTCAGTAACTCAGACGTTGGCTCTGCGCTCCCAGCAGTAACAGGCGGGAGGACACCAGCATCCCGGGTTCTGTGCACCCAGCACTCAGAGGCGAAGCGGAAGCGGAAGTGGAAGGGACGGGGTCTTACCAGGAACTTCCGCTTCTGCTTCCAGTGGCTGCCCTGGGCGTTGGTGGCCACGTGGGCCTCGGTGACGGTCTTGATGAGCTCCCATTCCTGGTCAGTGGGCTCTGGCTTGTGCCCCATGGATTTCTGCAGCTCCTCCCTCCGCCTCTTCTCCCGGTTCTCTTCGATGAGCTTCCTCTTGGCCAGACGCTTGCTGTCGTCCAGGACCACTGCGGGGGGAGAGGGACACAGAGCAGACACTCTCCAGACAGCTGGCAGACCCGCAGGGGCTCGCGTGGCTCAGAAGAGGTCACCTCGAGTCCTTTCTCCTTCGGCGGCAAACTGCCACCGGCTAGCCATTGTCCACATAAGCCCCGGCACTGATTTCCCAAAGCCTAGCCAACTTTCCAAAACGAAGTGGGGTGGGGGAGACACACTTGGACACTGGGCATCTTAGCTCCACAGGGGTGACCCTAAATAAGAATGAAGCAGAGACAGGTAAAGCCCATCCCACCTAGAGGGTAATAAGTGGCTCTGTCTAGCCAGTCATCTGAATTCACTCTTAAGGTGTCTGTTCCTCCCCTCAGCCCTAACCTCCCCAAACGGCTGAAGTAAGGACTTCAGGTTGAAAAAAATCTGGAGCAGTAAAGAGAGGCTGATATCCCTTTCTCAGAGGGAAAAGAAGTCTTGCTTTTCATTTGTTTACTCAAGGCTGATTGGAGTGGCTAGGAGCTTAGCTAGGCCAAGCTCAGCCCTCACAGATACTTTCTTTGCATTGCTCTATACCTGGTCAACCCTCAAAGTGATTAAAGAGCCCAGGCTTTGGAATCTAGAAAGACTGGGGCTTGAATCCTGAGACTACCACATTCTAGCTGTGTGACCTCTGGCAGCTTGCTGAGGCTCTCTGAGCTTTCGTTTCTTCCAGTATAAAATGGGATCAATAAGATCTACTTTGCAGGGTATCAGTATGATGATGCGGGGCACGTGCTCAGTAAACAGAGCCGTGAATTGTATCATTTATCGGTGGTCCCGAACCTTTCTGGCACCAGGGACTTATTTTGTGGGAGACACTGTCTTTTTTCCATGGATTGCAGGTTGGGGGTGATTTGGGGATGATTCACACCCATTGCATTTATTGTGCATATCATTTCTAATCGAACACCACTGCTGACCTGATAGGCTCAAGGGCCAGAGGTTGAGGACCCTGCTACGCAAAAGGGAAATCAGAAGTGCAGGTAAGAGCAACCTATACTTCTGTGGTTAATTTCCAAAAGGAAACCATTCACCAGACTCTTAGTAGCTCTCAGTGGCACGGAAAGACTCAGGGTTCATACTACAGAGTCGTAGTGTTTTACCACTGCTGGATCTCAACTCGGATCTAGTCCAACTCCCTCTTTCACAGAGAAGGAAGAAGGCGATCATGACTTCCCAAAAGTCACAGAACAAGTTCATGGCAGGGCCACGGTAAGACCCAGGACCCGTGACTGCAATCCTAGAACATCATTGTCCTAGGGCCATTTCCTGAGGAAGGTGTGACCTGCTAGGAAAAGAAAAATTAAAACAAAACAAAAAAAAGCAGGCATAGCAGAGGAAGAGAACCAAAAGTATCTGGTGAATCCATAAACAGAGAATGAGACCCAGATCATGGGAGACGTGGTTGGATCTTTAAAGTGAGGGGGGCACTGAGAAATGTGGGCAGGCTGGGTGAGGCCTGTGAAGTCAGCATGGTTCACCCATTAAAAGGAGGCAAGGAGACGGCTGTGCTCATAACCCCACTCCCCAAATGCTTCTCTGGTGTCAGAGATCATGGCAAATTGGACATGCATTATTCTAATTGAATCCTAAGATCAGTGATAATTTCACACAAGGGAAACCTGAAATTAAGTCCAGTGGGCACACAGTTAGTAAGTGGCAGACCTGGGAATCCAACAGTTTTTCTGATTATAAAACCTGAGCTCTTATAATGAATGACTCACACGCAAGCAAGCTGCACTCAAAATGAATTTCCACCAAGTGTGGATTAACACTGAGTTTTTAAAGCTCATCAACTTTTGCATCTTTAACTTTCAGTAAAACATTGCAATGGACATTCAGCAGGTCCCTCCTCTCCACAGGACCTTAGCAGACATTTTGTTGGCAACCTGTAAAAGCCTTTCAGAGACAAAGAACTCAGCCAGAGGTGGGGATTAACCCATGGCTTCCAGCCTCAAGCCCTGACACAACACTCCTCCTTTTTTTTCTATATAAAAGATTCCCCTCCTGTCTTCTTTAATGGGCAAACCAAGGATGTTTCAGAAATTTTTGTTGTTGTTCTTAGAGGACTCTGTTTATCACATAAATGTGGCTGTGACTATTTCCTCTTCATGAGGTCCTCACTGCATTCTTTTTTCTTTCCTCTTTTCTTTAAACTAAAAGTTGAAATCCTTCACCGATGTGCAAAAAATTTGTGCCAGAAGAAACTAGTAACCCAGATATCTAGCAAAAGGGAGGGCACACGTTCTGAATGGCATGATTCTTATTTCATGATTAGATTAATTAAAGTGACTGGTGTAAATCCCTTGCACAGTGTGGGGAAGAGACCCCGACGGCTAATCTCACTGCCATATGCTGTGGCACTTTGAAAACTGGGGAGGATGACTTCAGCTTGGAATGTTTTTATGGGCTAAAAATATAACAACAACAACAAAAAACCAACTGCAGGATGAGTCATGCAATAGGACTCAAGTTCACATTCTTTAGAAATTTCTGAACATGATGTTTTCTGCCAGTGCCCTGACTCCAAAAATGCCCACAAAATAAATTCCTGTCTCTGCTTTTGAAAAAAATGGAGAGAATTAGTCCATGCGGTTCTGACCACATGAATGCTGTGTGGAAAATTACACCTCATCAAGGTGGGGGGACAAGACCCCTCGTCTGTAACCTCTGTGCAAACGGAGTGTGGCTGCCCGCCCTGCACACGTGATGGGGACAGGTTAACCTCCGTCCCTCAGCCGTCATCCGGATGCCTCTGGAGTCAGGAGCTGATGGGGAAGGTAGGATGGAAACCGACCAGCCATGGATGGGAGTGAGGGTCCCTGAAAGGGCTGGGTGCTGCCCGCTGTCCACAAGCATCCCTGCTTTCTTTCCTGCCTGGTTGTTGTCCGTGAGCCACCCTTTTCCCCAGTCAACACTCCCTGAATATGAAGCAAAGGAAGCAAATTGTTACTTACAATCTGTTGCCATGCCAACGTAGATGCATTTTTTAAAGCGACATTCCTGGCACTGATTTCTTGTAACTTTGTCTATGACACACTTTCCTTCATATTTACAGGAATAGGATGGATGGAGATTTTTCTGAATGGTTCTTCTAAAGAAACCCTACATGAAAAAGAAAGACCCAAGACAGCCGTTTCAGATTGTCCAGAAATAAAGGACCTCCAGCATTTCGCATCTTCCTAACCATGGTGGCTCGTTTTGGACCTCACCTGTGTCAGTACAGGGCAGCTGACCCACAGTGAATCTCAGGAGTTCTCAGTCTGAGGAGAGGGAGAGGTCAGAAGCTGTGGAGTCATCATCCTTTTGGCATTTACTCAAAGCTAACGGGAAAATTGGTGTTCACGCTTATGTTTTCCAAACAGTGAGTCATATAAATAAGTTATATGATTTCATTTCATAGAATGCCACAGTGTGAAAGTCTCTCAATCATGTCTGGCTTCTTTGCCACCACAGGGGCTGTAGCCCACCAGGCTCCTCTGTCCATGGGGATTCTCCAGGCAAGAATACTGGAGTGGGCTGCCATGTCTTCCTGCAGGGAATCTTCCCAACCTGGGGACTAAACTTGGGTTTCCTACCTTGCTGGCAGATTCTTTACTGTCTGAGCCAAGCTTTGAAGAGGTTTGCTCTTTATACTGGAGAATAAAAGGGCTAGATACTTGTGATGCTCTGTTAATTAGTAATGTAATCATTTAGTATTTAAATGCATGCATTAACTGCCTTTAGAGATTCAGTTTAATTCTGGTTTTCGACGCTTGAGATGGCCGTGACCAGCTCAGATAGCCCTTAAAACAACAGTCATTGAGGAGGAGAAAATTCCAAATTCTTTACCAAATTTTCCCCAAAACTCATGGCATTGGAGTTTTCCTTTCCTAGCATCCTGTTTCTCCAGAGTTTGTAGACACATGCCCTAAAGTTCAATGCTTCTTCCTTTCTCAAGGCACAGGAGAGGGCCACCTGAGGATAGAATGAGGTTCCAGGCCTAGGTGACTTATGTAACACCCTCAAGGCGGTGTCGCATGAGAAACCTTTCTGTACATGGTACTCAAGTCATGATGGCAGAAAGCGCTCCTTGTGAGTGGCGCATTGCAGAGTGCTGCAGACAAGTACCTCTGTCTCTCCCACAGCCTTCTGAGGTTGGTACTCTTAATATCTCCACGGCAGGGATTAAAAAACTAAGCCTCAGACAGGTTAAATCACTTGCCCCAAATCACATGGCAAGTACACGCTGGAACTGGAACCTGGGAATTGGACTGCAAATCTCACTTATTTAACTGCTTATACGATATAAACTTAGTCCAGTTTTACTGTATTATTTAAATGTTTTAAATGAACATATTATAAACAGTCCCTTCTCATCCATTCTCAAAAAACCACATCGTTTTATGTTTTAGTATACACTAGCAAGGCACAACAGGTTTTAAAGGAAGTTGCCTGTTAAAGCTTAAAGGAACCTCCAACTTGGTTGCATTAATTGGACTTAGATGCCAGCTGATCTACTGAAAGTCGCTCAGTCGTGTCCGACTCTTTGTGACTGCATGGACTATCCAGTCCGTGGAACTCTCCAGGTGAGAATACTGGACTGGGCAGCCTTTCCCCTCTCCAGGGGATCTTCCCAGCCCAGGGTTCAAACCCAGGTCTCCCGCATCGCAGGTGGATTCTTTACCAGCTGAGCCACCAGGATTAAGCTCAAATTGTAATTATCCCATTTAACCGGCCCTGGCTCTGATGATGTACATATGCCATTTGCATATTCCTCATTCAGACTCAGGAGCTCTTCTTTACGAGGAAAGGGTCTGAGGAAGGATCTTACACTGAGCAAAGCAGAATAACGCAGAGGACTGACAGACTGAGGCTCAGGCACTCTGTGTCAGGGTACGCGTGCTCATCCCTGGTCACTTCTAGGACTCAAGTCCTAACAGAAGAGCTGTCATATTATATTTGGCTCTGCATCCTTAAACTCTGAGTCCATTAGTTTGAATGACGTTGACGAACTGTCGTAAGACTCCCTAAAGCACACGCGGGGCAGCAGCTGACGTGTTTCCTGGGTGTCCAAGGTGGGCCGTCCTGCCCGACTTGGACGTCAGAGCCTGCAGAGAGTGGAAATAAACTTCCCCGCCCGCCGCCTCCACCCCACCCTTCGAGGGTTGCACTTGCTTGAAAGGTAGAAGAAACTCAGAGATTCTAGCAAGAAGAAAGATGTCACAGGCAGGGAGCAGGGCCACTGGGGGGCATCCTCCGTGTGGTTTCCCTGGAGGTGGCAACACCGAAGTCGGGGGCCTCCAGGAGCATGCTGACCGCTGCTCTGAAGTTGGGAGACTGTTCCCCTGAAGTCAGGAGACCTTTTCTGCCTCATCTGCTCACACTGGCTCGTGTCCAGGGGCAGGGCGGGGAGCCCACCGAGGAGTCAGACAAGAGCAGGGAGGGGAAGAGGTGATGAACCAGAAACAGATGTAATGAGCATTTTTCCAAAAAGGCTTCTCTGGGAAACTTTAGAAGGAATGAATGAAATAACTGATGCTTGGTTTATTTTGAAAAAAAAAAAAAAAAGTTGAGGCAGCAGGCTGTGCCATTCTTAGTGCCATCTTTTCTGTGGCTCATCTCGAAGACTCTTCTTGGGCACTTCATGGACCAGATCCTTTTTAAGGCTCAGGCTTCCCCTGAGGCATGATAGAAGCAAATTTTGACACATAATGAAGGAACACTTCATTTGAGTAAATGTCCAAGATGGTAGGTTCCTTAATTTTAAAAAGGGAGAAACATCAACTTTTGTGAGTGAACTTGGATAGAAAATATTTACTTATAAAAAAAAATCTCTTTGAGACAAAAGAGATGTCTCAGGGACAGAGTAAGGACATATCTTTCACTGGTGAGTTACTGGTGAGCGGAGGTTTTGCTTTTATAAATTGACATTAGACACGTTTCTCTGCATTTTGAGAACTGAATCCATTTCTTAGTGGTCCAGAATGATGCCATAATCAGCGCTAAAGTGATTTATTATGGGAACATAAACTTTCTTTCTACAAAAGATGCATGAAAACTGCCCTATCCTAACAGATGAAACATCTGATCCGGAAGATTTCCACTGTCTTCAGGGTAAAAACAGGCAGAAAAGAGTCCCTCTACACGCTGCAGAATTACAGGTTTGAATAAACAAGATGTAAAGTGCAACTTTTTTCATTTTGGGCCACTTTTAAAAGCCCTGTTTCATTTGAACATCTCTTTTTGCTTTTTTCCCAAGATGCTCTGTCCTTATATTAAATGATCTGTGTAATTGCCCTTGGGTTTCCCAGATGACATAAGAGGCAAGGGTTTGAACCCTGGGTTGGGAAGATACCCTGGAGAAGGGCATGGCAATCCACTCCAGAGTTCTTGCCTGGAAAATTCCATGGATAGAGGAGCCCGGTGGGCTGCAGTCCATGGGGTCGCAAAGATTCGGACACAATTGAGCGACTAAACAGCAAACAGCAGCAGTGAGCATTAAGTCCTCTGTAAGGTACATTTGGTTTTTAGAGTCCCTTTGGGAACTGAATATAAATGGAATTTTCATTAGAGTTGCTCCTAGAATTAAAAATTTGTCATTAAAAACTGATTTGAGAGAATCTCAACACTGAATAATCAGGTAAGTAAAATCCTTCTTATTTGGGGCTAATTTAGAAAAAAGACCCATTTGAATCGCTGAGCTTTTGGAATGAGGGAAAGCATCTACAGAAATGGTTTTATCAGTTTCAAACCACGCCCATAAAATTGGCCTTTCAAGAGGCAGGCTGCAAGTTTCCCAGTTAATAAACAGCCGCAACTTATTTGTAAATAATGTCATCAAACTCCTTATGATATTATTTTCATAGATGTAATAGCAACCTTTAGCCCAATTTTTGTTAAAAGGTTACAAATTCTAGATCAAAGGGGTCTGGATGAATGAGAACAATATTACATCACATTCCAAAAGAGTCTTGCCTTGAGACCTTAAAAATGACCTCTTTTCACTGGATATATCATCTTAACACTTTAGCAGGCTACATGTTTCCTAATTTTGTACACAGAAAGCAGGGAGTTTGCATGGAAAATCTTCCACTAGGGAAATGACCCCATCAGTATGAAACTGAGCTAACATGTTGAATTTGGGGGTCTAGGGTCAAAGGAGAAAAGGAGGTAGTTGGAGGAAGGAAAGGAGAGAGGGGGTGAGGAAGGTGGTGAATGAGGGAAGATTGATTTGTTTTATAAATTTTAATACGATTTTTGCTCTGAAGTTTTTGATCATTTCATTTAAAAGGTAAATAAAACATTCGACAAAAAAAGTCTTTCTCTGACTTACTACGTCTTTTATAAAACATCAGCTGAATGCCTTGGGTTAAGCTTTGTTTACCTTTACAGCGAACTTTATCTTCTAGGCTGGTTGTTGGACCAAAACGTGTTTGCCAGAAAGTCAACTTCATTTTGATAATGAAGATGTAAGTTTGCGAATTCAGGTTCACTTTCCTGAAGTACACTAACTGTTGTTTGCCTGTATTCTTGTCAAGTGTCTCCTGCAGGTGAGTCTGGAGAGGATGTGATTACTGAAGGACAACCAGAATTTACCCATGGACTGCAGCCTGTGCCGACAGCCAGTTTGGACAATTTCAGCATAGAATTGAGCCTAAGTAGCCTCAAAGATTGGAGAAGGCAATGGCACCCCACTCCAGTACTCTTGCCTGGAGAATCCCAGGGACGGGGGAGCCTGGTGGGCTGCCGTCTATGGGGTCGCACAGAGTGGACACGACTGAAGCGACTTCGCAGCAGCAGCAGCAGCCTCAAAGATAGTGCCTAAGGGAACCCTGAAATGTGAGCATGTTCAGTCAGGTTCACACGGGCAAACAGCCTGGGGTTGAGGCCAACTCTGTCCCCTGAAACACTCCAGAGAAAGCAGGAGGAGAAATGGTCATTTCCTGGGATGGTAACACGTCATAAAATATCAATGCGTTTGTAAACTGAAAAGGAGGCCTTTATCAACGTCCTCTCATTTGATCAATTTTTCTACCTCTTGGATGGCCTCAAGGACTGAATGGACGTGAGTCTGAGCAAACCCGGAGAGACAGCGGAGGACAGCGCGCGTGCTGCAGTCGGCAGGGCCGGGAAAGGTCGGACACCTCTGAGTGGCCACCGCCACCTCCAGCCCTCACGCTCTCGCAGAACTTCGTCTAGTTATTTTCGATTTGGGAAAAATAAATTCAGTCTTGAATATGCGCCCCCCACCTCCCAAGATGAAGAGGTCCACCAGACACCCGGATGATCACAGCCCGTGCATGTCGGGGTTTGGTTGGAACGCGACCTGAACCTTCCGGCTGCGTCCCGGAGGCTCCAGGAGGCGCCGGCCCGCGCTTACCTTGCAGCCTTCGCACGTGATGCAGCGGTAGTGGTAGCCCGTGGCTTTGTCGCCGCACACGACGCAGAGCTCGTCCTTGTCTAAGTAGCTGGGGATGTAGCCTGTGCGGAGGACAGAGGAGGCGGTGAGACAGACGTCACGTTCACGTCAAAGACGCGCAGCCAGGAGGGGCACGGGGCGGACGGCGGGAGGGCGGGTGAGGGGCAAGACCGAATTGTTTCTACGCGTTTCAGTCCAGTTTTTGCTTTATGGTTTACACATTGTGGTCACTTAGCTTTAAATACAGAACGTGAATAAAACACCGAACAAGAGAACATTTTAAAAGTCTTTCCCACCACCCCCCACCCCCTTCCGTGTCCGTAAGTCTGCTCTCCATATCTGTGGGAAGGAGAGCGTGGGATGAGTGGAGAGAGCAGGGAGGAAGCATATAGACCACCATCTGTAAAGCAGAGAGCCAGCGGGAATTGGCTGTATGACTCAGGAACAAAACCCGGGGCTCTGGGACACCCTAGAGGGGCGGGATGGGGTGGGGGCGGGAGGTGGGAGGGAGGCTCAAGAGGGGGGACACATGTAATCAGTTAGGTCGCTCAGTCGTGTCCGACTCTTTGCGACCCCATGGATTGCAGCACGCCAGGCCTCCCTGTCCATCACCAACTCCCGGAGTTTACTCAGACTCATGTCCATTGAGTCAGTGATGCCATCCAACCATCTCATCCTCTGTCGTCCCCTTCTCCTCCCACCTTCAATCTTTCCCAGCATCAGGGTCTTTTCCAGTGAGTCAGTTCTTCACATCAGGTGGCCAAAGTATTGGAGTTTCAAATTCAGCATCAGTCCTTCCAATGAATGTTCAGGACTGATTTCCTTTAGGATTGACTGGTTGGGTCTCCTTGCAGTCCAAGGGACTCTCAAGACATATGTATACCTGTGGCTGATTCACGTTGATGTATGGCAGAAACCGACACAATATTGTAAAGCAATTATCCTCCAATTAATTATAAATAAAATTTAAAAAGTCTTTCCCTGAAAATACACTTCCTCAGTATCTTCTCTCTCTCTCTCTCTCTCTAGGATCTTAGCACACACTTACAGAGTTAATAATCAGGCCCAGGATTTCTGAATGCCTTGGAAACAGCTGTGCACACTCGCTATGCAGGCAGGAATGGGTCCAGAGGCTCTTGGAGCCAATGGGTGAAGCAGAGAGACTGGGATTTTATTTTAAAATACTTATCATAAATGAATTTATCATTTTTGTTATATGTAACATTACGAGTAATTATTAAAAAGAAATCATAAGGTCTTTTTAGAGCTACCTGTTCTTTGCTCCTGAAAGGATTTGTTCCCATGATCACACCCCAATCACAATTTAATTACAGAGCTGGGGAAACACTTTGCTTACTCGTCCTAATGCTGTAAGACAATAGGCTCCTTGGGTAAACAATGGGTTTCCCACCCTGACTAGATTTTAGAATCGTCCCGCTTTAAAGTATTGACTCTTATGGGAAATTCCATGGCAGTCCAGTGGTTAGGACCCTGCACTTTCACTGGTGAGGGCCCAGGTTCAATCCCTGGTCAGGGAACTAAGATCCCACACACCACATGGTGCAGTCAAAATAAAAAAGAAAATTGAATCTTGGGATCAACCATTTAAAAATACTGAATCTGAGACCAGCCCCCTGAGAATCTTATTTCACTGGTCTTAGGGTGTAGAAACATAGGCATGGAATTACCTAAACATTCTCTGGGTGATTCTAACATACATCTAGAATTGAGACTCCCTGGGCTGGGTTTGTACGGAGGGATCCAGAGAGGCCAGGATGTGAGACACCTGGGGTGCTGTGGATCACAGTCTCTTTTGAAAGACTTATTTCTGAACCTGTGCTTAGGGGACTTGATCCCTTTGCAATCTAGGTACCATGCAATAAATTCAGAAAACTTTATAGCTGGAAAGGCCCTGGGAGAGCAAATAATTTTGAGATGAACCAGTGTTCATCAGTTTGACCTTCCTCAGGCTCAAACCAGAAATTAACTGCAGAGAAGAAAGCCGAGATCTTGATTTCCAGCCCTCCAGTATTTAAGTTGTGTTGGTCTTTTTCTAAAAACAACTTCAAAAGTAGAATGAATACGGTCATCTTAAAAAAAAAAAAGGTTCTGCAGGGCTTCCCTGGTGACTCAGTGATAAAGAATGGAGACAGCTGCCAATGTAGGAGACACAGGCTCGATCCCTGGTTCGGGATGACCCCACATGCTGAGGAGTAACTAAACTCATCACCACAACTGCTGAGCTTGTGCACGCTACAGCCCGTGCTCTGCAACAAGAGAAGCCACCACGATGACAAGCCTGCACGTTGTAACTGGAGAGAAGCCTCCGCTCACCACAACTGCAGAAAGCCTGCACTGCAATGAAACGCCCAGCACAGCCAAAAATGAAAGTGAACAAACAAATAAATTTTACAAAAAGGTTCTGCAAACTTGTGATGTGATTACACAGCTCAACAACTGGGTGGTTGTCGTTCAGTCGCTCAGTCGTGTCCGACTCTCTGCGACCCCATGGACTGCAGCACGCCAGGCCTCCCTGTCCATCACCAACTCCCAGAGATTACTCAAACTCATGTCCAGTGAGTCAGTAATGCCATCCAACCAACTCATCCTCTGTCATCCCCTTCTCCTCCTGCCTTTAATCTTTCCCAGCATCAGGGTCTCTTCCAATGAGTCAGTTCTTTGCATCAGGTGGCCCTAGTATTGGACTTTCAGCTTCAGCATCAGTCCTTCCAATGAATATTCAGGACTGATCTCCTTTAGGATGGACTGGCTGGATCTCCTTGCAGTCCAAGGGACTCTCCAAAATCTTCTCCAACACCACAGTTCAAAAGCATCAGTTCTTTGGTGCTCAGCCTTCTTTATGGTCCAACTCTCACATCTGTACATGACTACTGGAAACACCATAGCTTTCACTAGATGGACCTTTGTTGGCAAAGTGATGTCTCTGCTTTTTAATACATTGTCTAGGTTTGTCACAGCTTTTCTTCCAAGGAACAAGCATCTTTTAATTTTATGGCTGCAGTGAATAGTGGTTCTGCTTATTAAGAAATAAATCCAACCATGATAACTCCTATTACTGCACTCTGAGCTTATTAAATTCCATGACCCAGGAAATTAAAGACACAAACAGAAGCTATGTACTTCCCACCCATGTCTGCCTCTTTCCTTTCCTTGTACACAATGTCCAAATATAAGAAACGCTTCAGAGGGCAAATCCAGTTTCATAGGTACCAGAGGTTTACCATAGAAGCACGGAGCTTCAGGGAAAACCGAAAAGGCCTGATTTGTTAGGATGTGGAGAGGCTGAGAAAACAAAATCATTTTTTCTCTTTATCATGGTCTTAACGAAGTTCTTTGACTCAGGAAACCCTTACTGGTTCCAAAAAAGATCAGCCAGGTTGAAATGACAGATGACTTACTATATGTTTTATCATGACATTTTCATAAATCTTTCATTGAACTGGGTCACTGAGGGCTTACTTTTCAGAAAAAAGCCTTTGAGAAAACAGAAGAAAATAAACCCTTTTCATAATCACTGTGCTCAGATTTTATTTTAGAAGAATATCCCTTTTGGGAGGGAGAGAAATGAGTTCAAAGCAAGATTTGGTAATGCACAGGATTATCTTTTTAAATATCACAGCTTTTCTTAGTTTACTTTTGCATCATGCAAACATGAATCATCTGTTGAGTTCACTTCAAATGTTTCAAAATTCTCATCAGACATTTTAAAAAAAGAGAATTCTGGGAGGGATCTGGGCAGAGAAAAGGGGGAACTGGAGAGATTTGTGTGTTCATCCAATCAGTCGTCTATTCATGAATTTAGAAACATTTATTTTTTAGCATCTACCACTGTGCTCAGGCTTCCCTGGTGGATCAGATGGTAAAGAATCCGCCTGCAATGCAGGAGACCTGGGTTTGTCCCCTGGGTTGAGAAGATCTCCTGAGAAGAGAATGGCCACCCACTCCAGTATTCTTTGCTGAAATACTCCACGGACAGAGGAGCTTGGTGGGCTACAGTCCACAGGGTCGGAAGAGTTGGACACGACTGAGCGACTAACATGGTGCTTAGTGCTTGTAATATAAAAACAAGTAAGACACGGTTTCTTCCTTGCGCAAGCATAGTGTAAGCAACCGAGTTCTGTATTTCCAGACCTGGTTATTTCTCAATGAGAGAAAAAGGTGAAAATGAAGGGAAAAAACATGAAAAGATGCTCAATATCATAGTAAGGAAATGCAAATCAGGATCATACTGAAATGCTGCTTAACACCCTCTAGGTTGGTTATGATAAAATGGCAGATAATAACACATGTTGGTGAGGATATGGAGAAATCAGAGCACTCATATATTGCTGGCAAGAATACGAAATGTGCTTTGGAAAAGCACTTGGGCAGTTTGGCACTTTGCAGTTCCTCAAAAGGTTAAACACAAAGTGACATATGACCAAGCAATTCTATTCTGAAATATACACTCAAGAGAACTGAAAATATGTGTCTGTACAGAAACTTGTCCAAAGCAGCACTATTCACAATATTCAGAAGGTAGAAACCACCCAAATGTCCATCAAATGATGAATGGGTAGTCAAAATATAGTATATTTGTACAATGGAATACTATTCAGTCATGAAAAGGAAGTAAGTACCACGCTACAACATGGAAGAATCTGGAAAGCATACCATGAAAGAAGCCAGATACGAAATGCCACGTATCGTATACCTCTATTTCTGTGAAATATCTAGATTAGGCAAATTCATAAAGACAGAAATTAGATTAGTGGTTGCCAATGTCTGGAGGAAGGGGAGAATGGACGATGACCACTGAAGGATACAAAGTTTCTTTTCAAGGTAATGAAAATGTTTTGGAATTGTGTTGTGTTGATGGCTGCACAACTCTGAATATACTAAAAACCACTGGGTGAAAAACTGTTGTTTTGGGGACTTCCCTGGTCACAACTCTGCACTTCCACTGCAGGGGGCTGGGGTTCGGTCCCTGGTTCACAAACCAAGATCTCACATGCTGCATGGTGCAACTACAACATCAAAGAATAAAAATAAATGGAATTAA